CAAGCCTGCATTCTCCTGCCAACCTAAACCAGCCTTCACTCTCCGCCAAACCTCCTAATCCTTGCCCCCAGGAGATCATCCCTGTAATCCTGTCTCACGTCCCGAGTCCCTTTGGCCCCATTTTTCTCCTGTTTCTTCCCTGTTCCTAGTCAAGCACCGCCTCACTCTCTAATCCTGCTCCAAGTCTCTCGGTCCCCTTAGGTGATTTTCATGCTGCCGAGTCTCCACGCTGGATGGTGGGGGAACAGAGCAGCCCTTTTCTGTCCCAGAAGAGGCAGTGTCCCCATCCTAGATGTGTGTGTATGTGTGTGCATTTGTGTGTGCTTGTGTGAACTGCTTTTCCTTTAGCTGCAGATACACGAGCCCATGGTGGAAAAGCTGAAATCATCTGTGTTCTTTTCTTGTTTACTTTCCTTTAGAAAGAAAACTTTATTCAAAAGTATAAGCAAGCATTAGGGTCTGTTCTGTTGCGATTTTACTCACCAGCTCATTGTGATGGAGTCACATCTGTGAGCCGAGGATGGGGTGTGAATTGAAGAGGTGGGCGTGAGCAGAGTGGCAGGACAGGTTAGAGTGCAGGTGCCAACCTTGTCCTCCGCTGGACTCTCCGTGGCCCTTCTCTGGCACAGCAAGGGGCTGAAATTTACACAGATGTGGACAATTATGCCTTTGGAACTTGAAATTTGGTTTCCAAAGCCATTTACCCCATTGTCTACACAGATGCCATTTGAATGAGAGTTTAGAACATTTGAGAGTTCAGAAAATGGTTTCCTCTACCCCCTGCCAGAGGCCTTTCACATTCACAGCATTTAGCAAGAGAACTAGGCACTCTGACAGCTTTGGGCAGGACTGGCAGATCCGCTGCCCAGCCTCGCTGGGTGGCCCACATCCTTTTTCGTCTTTTTTGCCTCACGTCCTCCTCGTCCAAGAGCAGAGCCTGTGCAGCTGGTCCCTCCGCAGCCACATGGCCGTAAACCAACAGCAGCTGCTGTCCCCTGCACCTGGACTCAGGGTGGGAACAGGAGTGCCCTGAAGGTGCCTTCGCCGTCAGTTGACACTGGGCTTTCCAAACGGCTCAGTGGGTAAAGGGTCCACCTGGGAGTGCAGGAGATGCAGGTCGGGAAGATCCCAGGTTGGGAAGATGTCCTGCAGGAGGGCACGGCGACCCACTCCAGTATTCTTGCCTAGAGAATCCCATGGACAGTGGAGCCTGGTGGGCTACAGTCCATGGGGTCGCAAAGAGTCGGACATGACTGAGCAGACAGCAGATCTCTAAGGATAGAGAGTCTGTGAGTTCACTGGCCAAGAATAAAGAGAGCTCTTCCCAGAGTTCTGTCTGGGTGAAGACAGCTTTAAGACAGCTTCACCCCAGTGAAGCAGCTTTAAGAAACCGAAAGCCTGGTCCTGGTTGAGATCAGACAGGCGTTGAAGGATGCTGGACCCCAGAGAGTGATGCAAGCTCAGACTTCCACCCATCGGGCCACTTCTCTTTCACCTAATAAACTCAATCACACACCTGGGAATTGATCCCCAAAAATGCCTCTTTTAAGCTTGGCTCCCCAAGTTCCACAGTGAAATTCCTCCCTGGTGCTTGATTGAGGAGGTGGAGAAAAGGTGAAGGAAGTGGGAGTAACTGGGGCACTCGCTGACACAGCCAAGTTCATGTCCTGCCCGTCCGGATCTCCCAGGAGACTGAGAGGAAGTGGGTGGGACTTCCCTGGTGGTCCAGTGCTTAAGACCCTATGTTTCTACTGCAAGGGGCTCGGGTTCAATCCGTGGTCAGGGAACTGAGATCCCACATGTTGTGTCTGCATGCGAGTGTGCTAAGTCACTTCAGTCATTTCCAACTCTTGTCAACTCTGTGGACTACAGCCTGCCAGACTCTTCTGTTCAAGGGATTCTTCGGGCAAGAATACTGCAGTGGGTTGCCATTCCAGGGGATCTTCCTGACCCAGGGATGGAACCCAAGTCTCCTGCGTTGCAGACAGTTTCTTAATCAATGAGCCACTTGGAAAGCCAACCGTGAGTGTGGTACAGCAAAAAAAAAAAAGAAAAGGAGGTAGTACTTTTGTGGGATGGGTATGGAGGTGGCACGCATTTTCCATCATTCGGGTTCAAATGTGGAGCCTATGGCATCCAGAAAAGTGAATACAAAAGTGCTTGTGTATGTCCACTTCCAGTTCCTTTGTTTTTGCAAGAGTCTCCTTAGCTCTCCTTGGATTCTCGGAGAAGTGTGTAGGCCAAACCAGGTTCAGAGCTACCACCCTGTGTCATCCATGATTTCACATCCCCTGTCATCATGGAAAGACACCTGAGAGCACTGGTCCAGCAGCAGAGGGTGGACCCAGCTGTCACCAAGTTTCCTGAATAAGGAATATGGTATCCACCACCTTGATTCCCTCCTGAACAACCCTGTACCAGCCTCTACTCCTATCGTGGCTGAAAGCAAAGAAGAAATAAAGAGCCTCTTGATGAAAGTGAAAGAGGAGAGTGAAAAAGTTGGCTTAAAACTCAACATTCAGAAAACTAAGATCATGGCATCTGGTCCATGACTCCTATAGTAAGTGGAGGACTTCCCTGGTGGCCCAGTGGTTAAGAATCTGCCTGCCAGTGCAGGGGACACGGGTTCCATCCCTGGTCAAGGAAGATCCACATGCAACTCAGCCCGTGCGCCGCAACTACTGAGCCTGAGCTCTAGAGCCCAGGAGCCACAAGAGAAGCCACTGCAATGAGCAGCCTGTGCACTGGACTAGAGAAAGCCCACACACAAAAAATCAAAGACCCAAGGCAGCCAAGTTTAAATAAATAAATAAAAACTAAAAAAATTAAGTAAGTGGAGATGAAACAGCCCATGTGCCTACCACACTGTGTCCCAGCATCACTTATTTGACTGTGACATCCAGTACGTCACATAACCTCTCTGCCTCACCGCCCCAGCCCGGTAGGATCAGGCCCCATTCAGGCATCATTCTGTGCTGGAGAGACTCCCCATCTACTCATTCTGGGCAAAAGAATTGTGTCTAAAATGATGCCTCGGGTACATCCTGTTCTTGCTTCCATTCTTAGCAGGACCTGAAAGGACTGTTACAACATAGGACCCTGTAGAGACATGAAAAAGACCAAGGTCCTCGCACCCATCTGAGCACACACAGCTCCGTGACCATACACACAGTCCAGCTGTGCTACAGGACATGTCCTGATGGCAGCAGGAGGCCCGGTGGAGGCTCCAGGCGGGAAGATTTGACGTAGGGATGCACTCATGTCCAGACTTTTTTCTGTTGCCATTTCTGCTGTTGATACTTTTCACCACTTTCCCACCGCTAACTATTCAGTTCTTCCTGCTGTGCTGTGCTTAGTCGCTCAGTCATGTCAGACTCCTTGCAAACCAATGGACTGTAGCTTGCTCCTCCATCCATGGGGATTCTCCAGGCAAGAATTCTGGAGTGGGTGGCCATGACCTCCCCCAGAGGATCTTCCTGACCCAGGGATAGAACCCAGGTCTCCTGAATTGCAGGCAGATTCTCTACCAGCTGAGTTACCAGGGAAGCCCAAGAATACTGGAGTGGGTAGCCTATCCCTTCTCCAGCGGATCTTCCCAACCCAGGAATCAAACGGGGTCTCCGGCATTGCAGGCGGATTCTCTACCAGCTGAGCTACCAGGAAAGTCCATTCAGTTCTTTACTACAATATTTGCAAAGAATGATTAAGTCATTTTTTTCTTATGCTATAACTTTTCAAAGTCCCTCTACATGATGTAGAGCAGCGGTCCCCAAACTTTTTGGCACAAGTTTCGTGGAAGACAGTTTTTACACAGACCAGAGGGGAGGGGGTTTTGAGATGATTCAAGCACAGTACATTTATTGTGCACTTCATTTCTACTATTACTAAATCAGCTCCACCTCAGATCACCAGGCCTTAGATCCTGAAGGTTGGGGATCCCTGAGATAGCGAATCTTCATCCGGTCACGGAGTGCACCGATAGTTACTGTCTTTCCCGTTTTCCTAGTACTCTTTCGCTGTTGCTGTTCAGTCACTAAGTTGTGTCCGACTCGGTGACCCCATGGGCTGCAGCGCTCCAAACTTCCCTGTCCTTCACTACCTCCCAGAGTTTGCTTAAACTCATATCCATTGAGTCAGTGATGCCATCCAACCATCTTCTCCTCTGTTTCCCCCTTCTCCTCCTGCCTTCAATCTTTCCCAGCATCAGGGTCTTTTCTAATGAGTCAGTTCTTCACACGAGGTGGCCAAAGTACTGGAGCTTCAGCTTCAGCATCAATCCTTCCAATGAATATTCAGGGTTGATTTCCTTTAGGATTGACTAGTTTGATCTCCTTGCTGTCTAAGGGATTCTCAAGAGTCTTCTCCAGGACCACAGTTTGAAAGCATCCATTTTTTGGTGCTCAGCCTTTTTTTGGTCCAACCCTCACATCCATTCAGGCCTACTGGGTGGCACTTTTTAATTTATCATCCAGGAGAAATGCTAAAAGCAGGACGATAGGTCCATCCCAGGCCACCAGGGGGCGTCAGGTGACCACCCCCTGCACAGTGACCTTTTCCTCACACCTTCTACTTGGGACACTCGCCTCATACTGGAGCTCTCTCCTAGCTAACCTAGCTAACGTGGCGATAGGAGACAATGCTTTGAAGCAGAAAGATGACCAGTTATGAGTTAAAGAACCGCCCGAAAGGAAAAAATCTCCCATCTTACAGAAGTCATGAGCTCTGTGTCCTTGTTTCTAGACTGCAGTTTCACTCAGAGTCTCACTGTGGTTTTGCAGCCCAGTCTTCTCATGTTCTTTGACATGTAGACTGGCCCATGTGATATTTAATTCTCCAATTTCTCTCCATACGAATTTAAGGCACCATCCAATCATCATGGGATTAAATAATTTAAAAAAAAAAAAAAAAAAAAAACACCTGCTGAATCTCCACCAGGATTGCCAGGAGCCAGGGGTACAATAAAAAAACAACTCCATCCTCATCTTTCCTTCTCTCCACAGCTTCGAAACGTGGCAGCAAACCTCTGCGTGGACAGCAAGCATGGAGCCACGGGGACCGAGCTAAGGCTGGACATCTGTGTCAAGGACGGTTCTGAGAGGACCTGGTCTCATGAGCAGGTGCGTCCTGGGACTGGGGGCGGGGGGCTGTACCGGCAGGGGACAGCGTGGGAATAGATCTCCAGAGGGAGCTGGGAGGTCACCACCTAGCTCTGCGGTCAAGGGAACCCCTTCTTTGCTCCAGCTTCCTCTCAGGGCAGTCATGGTCATCCATTGAGATCAGGTATTAAAATGCGCTTTAGAGAAAGGATGCTGGCATTTCACGGCGGTGCAGCAGTTAGGGCTCCACGCTCATGCTCCCACTGCTGGCCGTACAGGTCCAATCTCTGGTCGAGGAACTAAGATCCCGTAAGCCATATGGTGTCAAAAAAAAAAGAGAGAGAGAGAGAGAGAATAGAATAGAAGGGTGGTGAAGAAATGTTGATTGTGACCTTAGTCTTCTGTTTCCTTCCCCAGAACGATAGTTTTTCAAACCATGAAAACTTTGTAGACTGTTACAACTCTCCTGTGCAGATGTCATGATTTTATGGAAGGACTTGGTGATTCTGTCAGTTTTGGGGACTTTCTCTAAGCTTATTTCCCCCTCTGGCTGCTTGAAAAGCTTGCTTTACATACACCTGTCCTTGTAGCAGCAATGTGTGGTCTCACACACAAAGGATAGCTCAGAGGCAGGAACACCCCAGCGTGGACCACGTGGGATGCTTTAAGACCTGCTGTTTAGTCTCTCAGTCGTGTCCGACTCAACCCCAAGGACTGGAGCCCGCCAGGCTCCTCTGTCCATGGGAGTCTCCAGGCAAGAATACTGGAGTGGGTTGCCATTTCCTCCTCCAGGAGATCTTCCTGACCCAAGGGTCAAACCTGCATATCCTGCATGAGCAGGCAGACTCCTTACCGCTGAGCCACCAAGCAAGCAGGGAAGCCATGCTTTAAGACTATTTACCGCTTGTGCTCAAAAAAAAACATTTCAGAGCAGCTCAGTTTATTAAGTGAGGTGTGGTTCCTGACCGTCTCTGAAACATAACAGTCCTGGTAAGGGGCTTTCCTCGCCCTGAGTCACCTGTAAAAGAGCAAAGACTGAGGAAGAATTGTGCCTGCCCCCTTTTTATTGTTTTAAATTATAAAATCTTTCAAACAGGAAACTATAAGAAATTTAACAACACATCCTCATGTACTCATCACACAGACTGAACGAGTATCTACAGCTATTGCCGTATTTTTTTAGAAGAAAAAAAAAATGTACAGATACAATTAAAGCCCTTCTCCCTACCCTATACCTCCTACTCTGTCTACAAAAGGATACATCCCAAGTTCAAGATCTCATGTCCTGCTTGGGCCTTCTGTTTCCCAAAACTGTGTCTAATGCTTCTCTTAGGAAAACCAAGAGCAGACAAGCAGCTTCCAGTGTCACATCAGTTCTGTCCTCCAGCTTCTCAAGGGTCCGTCTCATAATTGACTAACGCTACGTTAGTATAAGCCTCCACCTCACCCAACCCGGGATCTCCAAGAGTTATTGGGTGTGATGAGACTGGATGCGTCAACCTTCCCCTCTCCTCACCCGCTCCTGCCCCGCCCCAGCACAGAGCAGCCAATTTAGGAAAACTGTTGCACTAAGCCAAGTCCAGAGCACAGCCCAGAATCCACTCCATCAATCCCTAAACCAGGGACTTTGCCGATGGGTGGCTCAGTGGTGAAGAATCCACCTGCCAATGCATGAAACTCCAGAGACTCAGGTTCCATCCCTGGGTGGGGAAGGTTCTCTGGGGAAGGGAATGGCAACCCACTCCAGTATTCTTGCCTGGAGAATCCCACAGACAGAGGAGCCTGGCGGACTACAGTCCATGGGGTCGCAAAAGAGTCGGACACGACTGAGCACACACGCTCCAGATGGTTTTAAGGAAGGCCCTGCAGCTTGGGGTTCACTGGCAGGCATGGGCCATCAGCAGAGGCTGACTTGCCTTCCTTCTCCTCTCTGTGTTAGTCCCTCAGTCGTGTCCGACCCTTTGCAACCCCATGGACTGTAGCCCGCCAGGCTGCACTGTCCATCGAATTTTCCAGGCAAGAACGCTGAGTGGGTAGCCATTCCCAGGGGATTTTTATCCTCTGTGACTAGGACAGGGGACAGTGTCTACCCGTTTCCTCCATGAAGCAATTCTGACTGCAGCCTAGGAGCAAGAGAGAGGGCCTCATGGCCAAGCAGTAAGGCTGGCGTCTAGAGGAGAAGAGAACATTCTCAAAAAGGAAAAGGAGGATGCTAGGAGGAAAGTCTGTCTCTGTTGAGTTCAGTTCTTCTCCACTGTCTCTGTTCAGCCCAACCAGGTGACACGCCCGTCCAGCTGGTTGATCTGAAGGAGGCAGACATACCTGAATGACCGGATCACGTTTAACATCTCCATCCCATGGAATGTGCTAGAGTGAAATATGCTCTGGGCTGCAAACTTCATTTGATGGGTGAAAATAAATATAAATAAAACCCGCTACAGTGCAAGTCCTTCCCTTGTCGTTTAGTCACTAAGTCATGTCTGACCCTTTCGCAACCTCATAGACTGTAGCCCACCAGGCTCCTCTGTCCATGGGATGTACCAGGCAAGAATACTAGGGTGGGTTTCCATTTCCTTCTCCAGGGGATCTTCCTCACCCCAAGATGGAACCCCTGTCTCCTGCATCGACAGGGAATTCTTTCCTGCTGAGCCACCAGGGCCAGGCAAACCTGCAAAAACCTGTGGCATGTAATTCAAGAAATAGTCACCAGAGGGCAGCACTAGATAAGCAGACAGCTATCTAAGAGGAACAAAAGACCACTTCACAGGGCTCTTTTTCTTTTTTAATTTTAATTGGAGGCTAATTACTTTACAATATTGTAGTGGCTCCTGCCATTCATTGACATGAATCAATGAAGATTTCCATTCTCCCTGGTCTCTGAAAGCAAGGCGATCAAACAAGGCTGACAGGAGGTGAAAATCAATCTTATTTGAAACACATATCATTGGATATTGACGTGGAGGTTCAAACATCACAAGCTGCCTTTTTTTCCAGTAATTAACTCTTCATTTTATTCGATTTATACTCAATGTATATTCATTACTCAATGAAGGAAGATCCCCTGGAGAAGGGCATGGCAACCCACTCCAGTACTCTTGCCTGGAGAATCCCGTGGACGGAGGAGCCTCGCAGGCTGCAGTCCACGCATCACCAAGAGTCAGACACGACTGAGCGACTGAACCACCAGCAGGACTGTGCTTTTGTGTGATACAGTCCAGGCTCGGGCAGCACTGTGCGTGCCACGTTAACATCAAAGCTGGGAAGTGTAACCGTTACGTCGTCCTGAATCTAGAGTATAGAAGAAGAGAGTGGAGAAACCAACATCAGTGTACTTCAAGAGTGAGGACTTTCAGGCTGGAAACAAGTCAGGAACCTGGATAAAATCTGAATATTTCTTGTCAGTGAGGAGCAGCCCAAAGGTTTCCAAACCGTCAGGTACCTGCATGATGTCTGCTTGTTTCTGCTTTGATATAACTGCACAGGATTGCAGGTCTCAGAAATGAGACCAGTCAGGGCCTGGTTGGTTCCATGCAACAATTAGGATAAGTTATGTGGCAGGAGAGAGCATTTCAAAGACCCTGGAGAGGGCTTCCCTGGTGGTCTAGTGGTTAAGAATCCACCAGCCAATGCCGGAGATGTGGGTTCAATCCCTGGTCTGGGAAGATCCCCTGGAGAAGGAAATGGCAATCCACTTCAGTGCTCTTGCCTGGAGAACCCCATGGACAGAAGAGCCTGCCAGGCCACAGTCCATGGGGTCAAAACAGAATGGGACAAGACTTAGCAACTAACCTACAATGAGAGGAAAGGAAACAATAAGAAAGTGAAAAGAAAACACTGTCTATGGAAGCACGCACAAGCCTGGACTCCTAGAGTGTGGCAGCGGACCGCCCACCCACCTCTGCAGGCCAGCTGGGTAACGAAGGACAGCGTAATGAGCACAGCGCCTTCCAGCTCTGGCTTCTGCAGGTACAAAAACAGGAAAAGTGACAAAGTGCAAAATGGATAGACCAGGCACAGCCACCAGTACCCGCACCGCTTACGGTACCAAGATTTGTGACATTTAAATAACATAAAATTTAATCCATGACAGGTTTATAGGCCAGGACATTGTTATTCCAACAATAGGTAACTGAGCTGAGAATCATAGAAATTGAAAGCTCAAAAAATGATTATTGTTGATATTGCTGTATTAATAATTAGACACAAACAAAACAAATTCATTTGAGAAACCAAAAAGACTAATATAATTAGTTCCTCTTGAGTTATTCCAGTGCACTTTCCATTAATATAATGAGTTCAAGTTTTTATTTATGCGATAGAAATTTTACTGGACATGAATTAAATGTCATGAATTGTTCTGGGTGCTGGAAACACAAAGATGAAGATATGGCTCCTGCCATTTGGGGTCTCACTGACCAGTGAAGGCTACAGAAACATAAATGGACAACCATGAGGAAATAAGGTGGGGGGTGGGAGGGAAGGAGAGGCTCAGAGAGATGGCTTCTTAGGCGATCTGGTGAATGCGAGCCTTCCAGCCAGAGGGCCTCTCATGAACAAAACCATAGGTGGGAAAATACATACAACCTGACTAGTTCAAGGAACTACAGTTTTTTACATTGAAGTCTAATTGACATACAGTAATTTGTTTCAGTTATACAACATGTTGGCTCAACGTTTGTATCTATTATGAAATGATAACCCCAACAAGTTTAGTTAATATTCACCACCAAACATAGTTTGTTGTTTTCATTGTTCAGATGCTCAGTTGTGTCCGACTCTTTGCAACCCCATGAACCACAGCACTCCAGGCCTCCCTGGAATCCAACTCCCGGAGTTCACCCAAACCCATGTCCATCGAGTCAGTGATGCCATCCAACCATCTCATCCTCTGTCATCCCCTTCTCCACCTGCCCTCAATCTTTCCCAGCATCAGGGTCATTTCTAATAAGTCAGCTCTTCAAATCAGGTGGCCAAAGTATTGGCGCTTCAGCTTCAGCATCAGTCCTTCCCATGAGTATTCAGGTTTCCTTTCAGATTGAATGGTTTAATCTCCTTGCTGTACAAGGGACCAAACATAGTTACTGAATTTTTTCTTGTGATGAAAACTTCTAAGATTTACCCTCTTAGCAACTTACAAATATTTTGCTGTTGCTAGAACATAAACTAAAGGGGAAGGGATGCAGTTGGAAAATATGGCAAAGGTCAGAGGGTGGAAAGTTCTTTATGTTTCAAAGAGTTTGAACTTCATCCTCTAAGGGTTATGTGAAAATATGATGAGCTTTCAGGTTAAGAGCCAACATGGTCATATGGGTATTTCAAAACTCTAATTCAAAAAAGTACACTCACCCCTATGTTCATAGCAGCACTTTTTATAATAGACAAGACATGGAAGCAAGCTAAATGTCCATTGGCGGAGGAATAGATAAAGAAGATGTGGTACATATATACAATGGAATATTATACAGCCATAAAAAAGAATGAAATAATGCCATTTATAGCAACATGGATGGACCTAGAGATCATCATACTAAGTGAAGTAGGGCAGAGAAAGACAAATATCACATCATGTCACTTATATGTAGAATCTTTAAAAACTGATACAATTGTACTTATGTACAAGATAGTAATGCAAAAGTAGGGAGTCAAGAAATACCTGGAGTAACTGGCAAATTTGGCCTTAGAGTACAGAATGAAGCAGGGCAAAGGCTAATAGAGTTTTGCCAAGAGAACGCACTGGTCATAGCAAACACCCTCTTCCAACAACACAAGAGAAGACTCTACACATGGACATCACCAGATGGTCAACAC